CATTCTTTAATCTAGGTTCTATCCTTGACTTTTATATCAATTTCCTGGGATCACTGGGTAAAGGTAAAGGTAAAGGCCCTCCCGTTGATCGTCGATTTGCTCGAGCGGGCCCAGTAACGTCTCCATCGGAGACTTTGTTGTTACTGTGTCTGGCATATCCAATACTCTCGGTAGCCTGCCGGGCTCTCCGAGAGGGGCGAAGGAATCGAACTCGGGTCGGCCATGTTGGCCGCGTGTAAGGCGAACGCCCTACCTGCTGTATCACTGGGTATGTGTCTCAAACAGCGTGGACCAACTTTAGACCTGAAGAGTCATTTCCTAAGAATCACAGCTTGATGCTCACAAATTTAACCTCCCTTCAGTAAGGCTATGCTCCTTGGAGGTTATCACATGCCATTTAGTTATTCTCTGAGATTCCTCGATGTTCACCTTATTTCTTTGCATAAAATGTGTTGAAAAGATAAAATACATGTAGGTCAACAGACAGACATTGGCGTGATAGATCCATCTTTAGTTCTGTCATTTTCCAGTGCTCTGCAGTAGCTAATTTATTAGCTCTACAGGGCTAATTTATTTTTATTTTTTATTTTTATTTTTTTTACGAGTCTACTGCTTTTATTTTTATTTATTTTTTTAGTGAAACACCATGAGGTACAGTTATAAAATTACAAATTTTTGTGCTTGGGTTTCAGTTATACAATGATCAAGTACCCATCCCTCCACCAGTGCCCATTTTCCACCACCACGGGTCCCAGTATCCTTCCCACCCCCATCCGCCCCATCCCACCCTGCCTCTGTGGCAGGGCATTCCCTTTTGTTCTCTCTCTCTCTCCTTTTGGGTTCTGTGATCTGCAAGAGAGGCATTGAGTGGCAATCATGTTTGGTCTATAGTCTACTTTCAGCAGTAGGGTTAATTTAAAGGGTGAAAAAAAGAAGAGTTTTGTTAGAAACATGCTCTAAGAGGTGCTAAAGCTTTCCGTGCTGCCCAGAGAGGGCGTTGTCCACGATTCCTGTGGTAACTTAAAGGGAAATTTCACAATGTCTGGAGCCCTCGATATCCTACAGATGGAGGATGTCCTCAAATTCCTTGCAACAGGCACCCAATTAGGTGGCACCAACCTGGACTTCCAGATGGAACAGTACATCTACAAAAGGAAAAGTGATGGCATCTACACTGTAACTTTGAAGAGAACCTGGAAGAAGTTTCTGCTGGCTGCTCGTGCCATTGTTGCCATTGAAAACCCAGCCGATGTCAGTGTGATCTCATCCAGGAATACTGGCCAGCGCCCTGTGCTGAAGTTTGCTGCTGCCATGGGTGCCACTCCAATTGCTGGCCGCTTCACTCCTGGAACTTTCACTAGCCAAATCTGGCGGCTTTCTGGGAGCCAAGACTTCTGGTGGCTACTGATCCCAGGGCTGACCACCAGCCCCTTACGGCGGCGTCTTACGTTAACCTGCCTACCATTGCTCTGTGTAACACAGGCTCTCCTCTGCGCTACGTGGACATTGCATTCCCTTGCAACAAGGGAGTTCACTCTGCGGGTCTCATGTGATGGATGCTGGCCCTGGAGGTTCTGCGCATGCGAGGCACCACCTCCCCTGAACATCCCTGGAAGGTCATGCCTGATGTCTACTTCTACAGAGATCCCGAGGAGACTGAAAAGGAAGAGCAGGCTGCTGCCGAGAAGGCCGTGACTAAGGAGGAATTCCAGGGTGAATGCACTGCCCCAGCTCCGGAGTTCACTGTGACTCAGCCTGAGGTTGCAGATTGGTCTGAAGGGAGCAGGTGCCCTCTGTGCCCATTCAGCAGTTCCCTACTGAAGATTGGAGTGGTCAGCCTGCCAGAGAAGACTGGTCTGCAGCTTCAACTGCTCAGACCGCTGAATGGGTTGGAACCACCACCCAGAGGTCTAAAGCTGTTCTTCTAGACTCAAACGGGAAATGAAAATAAAGTTGACGGAAAATTAAAAAAAAAAAAAGAGATGCTAAAACTACAGATAACCCATTCCAAGAAAAGAGCCAAAAAAGTGTCCTTTAGTTTGGACTCTGGCATGTAGTCTTTGTGGATCTACATCAGTTCTGGCAAAACTCTATTTCCCTCTCTAAAGAAACACCAGTAAGAATTCTTGTGTGGCCTCTTTACAATAGCCAGAATCTGGAAAAAACCTGAGTGCCCAAGAACAGATGACTGGTTAAAGAAACTTTGGTACATCTACACAATGGAGTACTATGAAGCTGTTAGAAATGATGAAGTCATGAAATTTATATACAAGTGGTACTACATGGAAAGTATCAGGTTAAGCGAAATGAGTCAGAAAGAGAGGGATAGACATAGAAAGATTGCTTTCATCTGGGGGATATAAAGTAACAAAGTATGAGATTAATACCCAAGAATAGCTGAGATCAGCACCAGGAGGATTACTCCGTAACTTAGAGGCCAGCCGGGTATCCTAGAGGAAAGGGCAGTTCAGATAGAGAAGGGAGCACCAAATAAAGGGTGTTTGGAGGATCCTCCCAGGAGGGGAGATGCATGTTGAAAGTAGACTATGGACCGAACATGATTGCCACTCAATGACTCTTTTGCAGACCACAACACCCAAAAGGAGAGAGAGAGAGAGAACAAAAGGGAATGCCCTGTCACAGAGGCAGGGTGGGATGGGGCGGATGGGGGGTGGGAGGGATACCGGGATCCGTGGTGGTGGAAAATGGGCGCTGGTGGAGGGATGGGTATTTGATCATTGTATAATCGAAACCCAAGCACAAAAATTTGTAAATCTACAACTGTACCTCATGGTGTTTCATCAATAAAAATTAATAATAAAAAAAGAACTCTTGCGTGGCACACTAGTCTCTCACATATTAATGTCAATTATGTTTCTTATTGCTACATCCAGAAGTGCTCTGGGCTTACTTTGGTTTTGTAGTCAGGGATTATTCCTGGTGGTGTTTAGGGGACCAATACAGGTGCTGGAAATCAAACCAGGGTTCCCTGCATGCAAAGCAAGTGCCCTGCCCTGCCCACTGTACTCTCTTTCTGGCCCCTAAGCAACTTCTGTTATAAAATGAATAAGATCCTGGTATGAGTCAGGATTATTATCTCAACTTCTGGATAAGGGAATGGAAGCACAGAGGAGCCAGGCTTGAAACGACTTATTATTGTGTACAAAGACTAACCTAGAGACGGTACGAGAAGCTTCCACTAGACTTGTGAGGTTTTGCTGCTGGTAGAATATAATTTGAAATGCTTCCAAAATACCCCTCTCGGAGAGCCCGGCAAGCTACCGAGAGTATTCGATATGCCAGACACAGTAACAGCAAAGTCTCCAATGGAGACGTTACTGGGCCCGCTCGAGCAAATCGACGATCAACGGGAGGGCCTTTACTTACTTACTACTTTACTTTCCAAAATAAGCATTGCAGACAGAATTTGTGGATGTGTCCTGGGGATTCTAAGAAGCGAATATCACCATGGTGGGAACCAGATTTAAAGCAAGCAGCAACTGCAACTGGCTCAGATATGGATATAAACAACACCAGCAGATCAGGTTTTATTTTTCTTTCTTTTCTTTTTTTTTCTTTAGAGGGGAGCACCAAAAAAAAAAAAAAAAGGGTGTTGGGAGGATCCTCCCAGGATGAGAGATGCATGCTGAAAGTAGACTATAGACCGAACATGATTGCCACTCAATGCCTCTTTTGCAAATCAGGTTTTATTTTTCAAGCACCCATCTTTAAAACAAGAACATCTAAGTTTCAAGTAGTTTGCCCCTCACCCATCTGCAAAACAAGAATGTCTGCAGCCCCAAGTATTTTGTCCCTCAAGGTTCTGTGCTAATTTGAAAACAAAACAAAACAAAAAAGGCACTGCTTGCGAGAATGAGAAATAAGGGGTCAGAGAGATAGTACAGAGGTTTAAAGGTGCTTGTTTTACACATGGACAACCACACTGCATATGGTCCCCAGAGAGAATCATCAGAGTGACACCTGAGCACAGAGCCCAGAGTAAGTCCTGAGCACTAGCACCTTCCACCCCGGCCCCCAAAGGGGACAAAAACAAACCCAAAACACAATGGATTTTAATCTTGGATTTGCCTCTCGTCAGCAATATGGTACAAAATAACTTCGGCTCCCTGAAGTTTTCCCTTCTTAGGATGCAAAATGGTCTTTCTTCCCCCTGTTTCACAGGGTGCTGGTGCTGGTGAGATTAAACTGAGTGATGAATGTGGGGACGTACTTACTACGAATATAATCCAGAAACTGGATTCCTGTACAATACATCACGATGGAATTATGTAGATTTCTCAGAAGGCTCTATCATATATCTCTGAATTAAAAACAAACCAAACAATAATTGCTGTATAGTTGGTAAAGTCTCTTGGGAAATATAAATTAAACCGTTTAAATGCACTAAGACAGGTACCAAATTCACAACAAATGAATAACAACAATCAACTTATTTATTTGATTTGGTCTTGGTCCATACCCTGCGGTTCTGGCTCTATTCCTGGCCAGAGCTTGGGGAACCAAAGCAGTGCCAGGAATCTAACCTGGGCCTCTTGCGGACAAAGCATTCACTCCAGCCCTGTGAGCCGTCTCCCCGATGTCAACCAACCTATATTTTATGAGATCAGCATATGTATTCATCCAACAGACATACCAAGGACTAAAATTTTTTTTTTTATTAGTGAAACACCATGAGGTACAGTTGTAGATTTACAATTTTTTGTGCTTGGGTTTGATTATACAATGATCAGATACCCATCCCTCCACCAGCACCCATTTTCTACCACCATGGATAATATCCCCCCACCCCATCCCCCCATCCCCCCCTGCCTCTGTAGCAGGGCAATCCCCTGTGTTCTCTCTCTCCTTTTGGGTGTTGTGGTCTGCAAAAGAGGCATTGAGAGGCAAACATGTTCAGTCCATAGTCCACTTTCGACATGCATCTCCCCTCCCTCCTGGGAGGGTCTTCCAAACACCCTTTATTTGGTGTTCCCTTCTCTAGCTGAGCTGCCCTTTCCTCTAGAATGCCCAACTGGCCACTAAGCTATGGAGTAATCCTCCTGGTGCTGATCTCAGCTATTCTTGGGTATTAATCTCCTATTTTGTTACTTTATATCCCCCAGATGAATGCAATCTTTCTATGTCTATCCCTCTCTTTCTGACTCATTTCGCTTAGCATGATACTTTCCATGTTGTACCACTTGTATGTAAATTTCATGACTTCATCTTTTCTAAGAGCTACATAGTACTCCATTGTGTAGATGTATCAAAGTTTCTTTAACCAGTCATCTGTTCTTGGGCATTCAGGTTTCTTCCAGTTTCTGGCTATTGTAAAGAGTGCTGCAATGAACAAACAAGTGCAGATGCCAAGGACTAAAATTTTAAGATGTCCGTATACTGATTTTTAGGCCTGGGATAAAGGGGGTTACTGTGAGTACTTCAGAGAGAGATACAAATGAGACTGCCCAACAATTACCTACCTCACTCATATCTGTGAAGATCAACTCAGACCAAGGAGCATATCTCAAATAACTGAGGAGTCATACAATATGAGTTTATTTGGCGACAGCATTTTGCATTACAGCCTGCAGTGTTTAGTGCTTACTCCTTGTGTTCAGGGATCACTCTTGAGGTGGGGAAAGGGGAAAGGAGGGTCATTATGAAGTACCAAGGATGGCAAACATGCCAGGCAAGTACTTCACACCTGATCTATCATTTCTTCCATCCAGTCACAGAATTTCGTTCCTGGCATTTAGAACGTTGCTCTATTTGAGGGCTATATGAAATTATTCATCAAACGAAGCCAATAATCAGATTGAACATTCCCAAAGGATGTAACCTTGCTCACTGGAAAATGCTGTTATTATCAGAGTGTTCAGACCACAGGATCTAAAAACCTTCTTTGCACTTAGGTTGAAACTCCCTACAGAAATCCCACCATTTTCTTCACCTGCTGGCACACGGGGTAGGCTAATTCTTTGGCTTTTGCTGACCCCATCTGTAAAACTTTCTCCAGATAGCCCTGGTCCAGCTTCAGTTTTTCGATTTCACGCTTAATCGGGGCAAATTTCTCAATCACAGCTTCTGCCACCACCAGCTTATAGCGGCCAGTGTCCAGGCCCGCACTGCGGTGCACCACGTCCTGCACGGGGAGCCCCGTCACAGCCGAGTGAATGGCCACCAGGTTGGAGACACCCTCCCGGCGCGTTGGCTCGAAGGTGACCTCCGAGGTGAAGTCCGTCATGGCCTTGCGGAATTTCTGCACTATCTCCTCGGGGCTGTCCGTTATTCTGACGGTGGCCAGTTTGTCGGGGTCTGATTTTGACATTTTGGCGGACGGATCACGCAGGGATTTTACCTTCTTCATCGATGCTGGGTAAGCACACCAATACACATATACCCAAAAACAAAAATAACAAGAAAAAATCATTAGGCTCATCAGAAACTGGGTTAATGCCAAAGTACCAAATTAGTTTATTATTTTATCTGACTACAGATATAGCAAATATTCTGAAAATTTTAAGTGATTTCTATTAACACGAAAGCATATAATAGTACCGTTGATATTTTGTTTATAGTTCCATGCATCTTTTTTAATTTTTTTTTTTTTTTTTTTTTGCTTTTTGGGTCACACCTGGCGATGCTCAGGGGTTACTCCTGGCTCATGCACTCAGGAATTGCTCCTGGCAGTGCTCAGGGGACCATATGGGGTGCCGGGAATCGAACCTGTGTCGGTCATGTTGGCTGCGTGCAAGGCAAACGCCCTACCCGCTGTGCTATCACTCCAGCCCTCCATGCATCTTTTAAATGCACACATTTACATAAAAATATGTAGCCTTACAGAATTGTAATTATATTAATCTAATTTTGCTATGCACATTAAAACTTTCAGTTTTTTTAATCTCTACTCTTCCCTAACAACTAATCAGCCACACCTGCAACCACTGTCCTTCCTCCTCTCACAAACCAAACTTAGAACATATGTTAACCCTTCCATTTCTTTATGCATATATGTATATGTAAACACACACATATACAAATATATATGTACTCATGGGAGAAGTGATTTATTTATTGATGGAATCAAGAAGCTAAGCCGTGCTTCATGAACCAATGTTCTTAGTAATGATGAATTTTATGGTTATTAGAGGACACATAAAATCAAAATGGGTAATACAGTTATAAGTCAAAGCATTAAGTACAACTAGTTATTGCAAGAAGTTTGATTCCAATGCATAGGATTCTGCAGATATACTTGCATGAACTGCTAGAATAACTCAAACATTTAGACCTACCTTATGTTTCTAAATTGACATGAGGGGCATAACATAAAAGCACTTTCTTAAGCTAAGTGCTTGAGAAAGATGGATAGAGCTTATGCTCAGCGAGCGCTGCTCCTGTCACAATTCTTTTTTTTCTTTCACTTTTTAAAAATTTTTAAACTTTTTTATTGAATCACCGAGATAGACCCTTACAAAGGGATATTACAAAGCTGTTCATGATAGGTTTAGGTTTCAGTCGTATACTGTTCCAACACCCATCCCTCCACCAGTGTACATTTCCTAGCATCAGTGTCCCCAGCTACCCTCCCATCACTCCTTACCCCCCAGTCTGCCTCTATGGCAGGGGCTTTTCTTCTCTCTTTATTTCTCTCTCTCTCTCTATCCATCTTTCTCATCTTTTGGGCATTATGGTTTGCAATATTAATAGCGGAAAGGTTATCAAGAATATCCCTTACTTACTTTTAACATTCAATTCTTGTCCAGCGTGATCATTCCCAGCTATTGTCAAACCGGTCTCTTCTCTATCATACCTACCCTCTGCCTCTGACACACTTGTGGTTGATTTCAACCACTGACCAGTCCTCCTAGCCCGTTTTCCCTGGCCATGGATATTAGTCTTCTCATATATCTATATCTATATCTATATCTATATCTATATCTATGTGGGCTGGAGTGATAGCACAGCAGGTAGGGCGTTTGCCTTGCAAGTGGCCAACATGGCCGACCCGAGTTTGATTCCTCTGCCCCTCTCGGAGAGCCCGGCAAGCTACTGAGAGTTTCTCACCCGCATGGCAAAACCTGGCAAGCTCCCCATGGTGTATTCGATATGCCAAACGCAGTAACAAGTCTCACAATGTTACTGGACCCGCTCGAGCAAATTGATGAACAATGGGAGGACAGTGACAATGATCTATCTATCTATCTATCTATCTATGAACACAGACTTTATCTGTCCCTCTCCTTCAGATTCATGTCACTCAGCATTATACTCTCCATGTCCATCCATTTATAGGAAAATTTCATGACTTCATTTTTCCTGAGAGCTACATAATATTTCATTGTGTAGATGTGCCATAGTTTCTTTATCCATTCAACTGTTCTCAGGCCCTCAGGTCGTGAAAAGTGCTGCAATGAACACTGGAGTGCAGATGGTGTTTCTACTGTGCCACGCCACACAATTCTGTTGCTACCAAACTTTTGATAGAAAGGTACACTTTGTTTTCAGGAAAGAAAAAGAAAACCAACTTGGGAATCAAAAAGGTTCAATACAGGACCCAATTTAAAAAAGTTTTTTTTTTGTTTGTTTTTGGGCCATAGCCAGGAGTGCTCGGAGCTTATACCTTGCTCTGTGCTCAGGGATCACTCATGGCGGGGTCCTCCACATGCAAGGCAAACACTCTACGTGCATCAGACTATTGCATCAGTCCCTCAAATTAAACAAAAAAAAATTTCCTTTTTAACTTTCTGCTTTTGTGGGGCTACCAGAGAAGCTGTGTCTTCTTTTCTCTCTTTATGGTTTTTTTTTTTTTCATGGTGGGGAAAATTCTGTGCTGGGGATCAAATCCAGAGCCTCAAACATGCAAGGCAGACAATCTGCCGCTTCAGCCATGTCCCTAGTATCTAGTGTCCAATTTTGCCAGTGACTAGATTCACAGCTTGGGCACCAAATAGTCTTGCCTCACTCATAAAATAAAGGAAAGACAATTCCCCTATTAAATGAGATATGTATTTACATATGTTTGGTCAGTTATATGCCCTGCACTGCACTGTCCACCCGCTGTTCATCGATTTGCTCGAGCGGGCCCAGTGACATTGTGAGAATTTTTACTGTGTTTGGCATATGGAATACATCATGGGTAGCTTGCCAGGCTTTGCCGGACGGGCGAGATAGCTTGCTGGGCTCTCCGAGAGGGGCAGAGGCTCGGCCGGACCAGCTGCGTACAAGGCAAATGTCCTACTGCTGTGCTATCGCTCAAGTCTGGTCAATTATATAATACTTTACAAATAAAAATTGTTATTTTTAAGTCTCATACTTTTCAAACGCGTTTTCAAAAGCTCTTTTATTCAAAAACCCAACCAGGTCATCTAGTGAGTCCTATTTTAAAGAAAAAGATAGGCATTTTAGTTACAAATTCTGAAGCCAGACCACAAGAAAGCCAAGTTGAGCCTCAGCCTGGTTCATTATCCCATCCTTCAAAAATGATCTGTATTTAACAAGCCCATGATTGGTACTTACTGAGAATGGATGTGGGTACCGGAAAGAATTCCCCGTACTTCTTGTTAAATCCTCGTGCTAGGTCCTGAACTAGCTCTAAGTGCTGGACTTGATCCTCCCCTACAGGAACGTGTGTGGACCTTTAATAATAAAAGACAGAAAAAGCTCAGCATGGCTCCTGTTTATACTGTGCCGATATTGCAAGCAGCTGCATTGCCTGAGCTCACTTCACTGTTGGTGTTCAACAAATGTTCAGTAACTACAGAGGGAATGTGGAAACCTCAGTTTTTATCTATCTCAGGCAAATGCCAAAGATACATTTGTCTGCTCTAGTTCGGTTTCTCCCACTGCAGAAGGATACAGCCATCAACACCAGTGTCACAAGATCTTGCTGTGAAGAGAGGAATGGCATCTTAAAGAGCGTGTGTGCTGAGAATAATTGCATTGAAACCTCTTCTCAGTCCCTCATCCAGTCAGCACATATTAGCCTTGACCAGATGCTTTTGAGGTCGGAGCTCATGCTTACACTTGAAAGAGACTCCACCCTACTCTCTCAATCAGAAATGGTGGTGAGCTCGTCAAGCAAAAGTTTCCCCTCCCTGTCACATACGAGCGGCTCAAGCTCTTTTCGCAATATGCGCCTTCATTTTCAAGTGAATGGCAATCACAGGAGAATTAACTTGAGGCAGAAGACCAAGGGAATAAAGTTGATCAGTTCAATGTACAGGGATCGCAAACATAATGTTGAAGAAAACACAGTTGCAAAAACATGCAGAATGCACTGCTACCTAAATTTATGCAGATATATGTGTATTCTGATGGTGCTCAGGACTTGCTCCTGGCTCTGTGCTCAAGGACCACTCCTGCCAGGGCATAGAAGATCTTATGCAGTGCCAGGAATAGATCGGGGTCAGCCACATGCAAGGCAAGCACCCTGCCTGCCTGCCTATCTTTCTAGGCTCACATTATAATTTAGGACATCCCCAAAGATCCTTGGCTCTGCTGTGTGGACCTGACAGCTGAGCTCTTCGTAACGAAGTGTTGCCTGGACCCTACAGTGGTCAGGGGTACCAGGGACACCCCTTGTAGGTGCCAAGAAGTACCAAGGATGGAATCATGGCTATGCACATAGTAGGCCTGTGCTTTACCACTTGAACTCTCCTTCTGGCCCAAAAATCTTTATACTACATATGAAAACACAGATTCTTTACAGATGCATTTATTAGCATAACACCAAACTGAAAGCTCCTCCACAAACTCACGGTTGTAGCTTCCTCTGGAGAAGGGTGGACATGGATATCCTTATAGTTTTAGCTCAATAGAGTGGGCCTTGGGACAGGAACAAAGAATACCTGAATTCTGTCTGTAATGTTTTATTTAAAAAACTGAATAAATGAGGACTTTATTTATTTATTTTTGCTTTTTGGGTCACACCCAGCGATCCACAGTCACTCCTGGCTCAATGCACTCAAGAATTACTCCTGGCAGTGCTCAGGGGACCATATGGGATGCTGGGAACCGAACCCGGGTCAGCTGCGTGCAAGGCAAATGCCCTACCTGCTGTGCTATTGCTCCAGCCCCCACAAATGAGGAATTTAAATTACTTAAATTCACACAGCAAGTTTTCAGTGTTGAATTACGCATGCTTTCTTTTATGTTAACATAACAGGGTATTTCCCATGTTTCTGTAAGGCCTTCAATAAAGCAACTTCTTTTGTCTTTGGTCCACACCTGGCAATGTGTAGGGGTTACCCCCAGCTCTGCGCTCAGGAATTATGCCTGGCCGGTGCTCAGGGAACCACAGGGGATCCTGGGGATCAAACTCAGATTGACTGCATACAAGGCAAAAGTCCTACCTGCTGTACTATTGCTTTGGCCCCCGAATAACTTTTGGTAAATGCACAAGAGTGTTTTCTTACAGAACTATAAGAAAGTTATGTTATTTTGTGGCAGATTCTTTTGATAATTCATATAGAAGAAAATTTTGGTTGAAAGAAAAAATAATTCTCTTCTATAAGAACCCAAAGTTCTTTGGAGACAAATCCGGTGAAAGATGTTCAATATTTTCTGGTCAAAAGCAAAGTATGACTGTTAAGGAAACTAATACTTGTGTGACAAAATAATTTTGTACACTTTCAAGAGAAAATATGACTAGTATTTTACATATTAGAAGCTACATTGTTCAAATGACTCTTTGACCCTTTTTTTTGTATGGAAGTCATACATCTTATGTATGAAAAAAAACTCAAACATTACTTATGTTTTCACATGGTCTCTCCCATATTCATACAGCTGCTGTGTGATTATGTGCATGCATGCGTAAGTGTTTGTCAGATACAACATAACAGTTTTTTTTTTTCTTTTTGGGTCACACCTGGCAATGCTCAGTAGCATTGTACAGACTACTCCTGACTCTGTACTCAGGAATTACTCCTGATGGTGCTCAGGGGACCATATGGGATGCTGGGGATTGAACCTGGGTCAGCCACATGCAAGGCAAATGCCCTAACTGCTCTAGTGTTTCGGCACCAATACCATCTTAAGTACACAAATGTTGGGATCAGGTCAAGTTCAAATTCTGAGTCTGTCCATCTTATTTGTGTGACGCAGTAAATCACAGAATTTATGTCATAGGCGACTTTCTGACTGTAAATTGGAATATTTACCCCAAACTACTATTCTAGAGATTAAGTGAGGTAACTCACAAGTACATAATTGAAATTTGGTAAGCCTTCAGAAATGGTAGCTATGTGAGGAACTCTAAAACGGAATACTATGTTCAGAAAATTGCTCAAAATATCCTCCCTATACAATTAGAAACTCATTTATTACCTGACTCTGATTACAACTTCTCAGAAGCTTGGCTAGAAGTAAGGAACAGTTGTGAACGGAGGAAAAAAAAATCCAGGTTCTTTTTTTACGCATCTTGAGCAAAGTGGATAATCAAAACCTCATAAAATATTTATTCAGTTATAGGTAAATTTTCATAAAAGAGAAAAAAGATAATAGGACAATAGAATCATAGATTAGCCTATCCTTTCCACCCTGACATTTGTAAAAACATAACCTTAGAAAAAACATTTCTTTTTTTTTCTTTTGGGGCCATACCAAGCAGAGCTCCAGGATTACTGCTGGCTCTGTGCCCAGGGACCACTTCAAATAATGCTCATGGGACAATACACAGCGCCTGATTGGACCTGGGTTGACTGCTTACAAGGTAAACACCCTGTTCACGGTTCCATTTCTCCAGCTCCACACAAGGCGTTTTCAAAAAGAACATTTTACAATAAACAGTTTTGTTTTAAAAAGAAAATTGGGTGCCAGAGCAGTAGAACAGTGGGAAGGACACTGGCCTTGTACACGGCTGACCCGGGTTCAATCCCCGGCATCCCATATGGTCCCCCAAGCACTGCAAGGAGTAATTCCTGAGTGGAGAGCAGGAGTAACCTCTGAGCATTGCCTGGGTGTGACACCCCCCCCCCCCAAAAAAAAAAAAGAAAAGAAAATTGCTTCATAGCCTCAGAAGGATTAAAAAAGACATGCTTGTTGATGGAGTTCATGCCCAATTCAATCAGCCTAATCAGTGGCTGGGTCAGGTGAATGAGATGTTTTATGAGAAATGTTTTATGAGAAACAGCCTTGTTCCTGACGCCCCATTCGCTCTCAATGGAACGACCATCTCTGAATGCAACAGCTATGTGTACCTAGGTCGAGAGGTCAACATGACAAATGACCTGGCACCCGAGCTGCGCAGGAGGAAGAGAGCGGCTTGGAACGCCTTCAAGAACGTCGAAGAAATAGCTAAGAGGACGAAGAACCTCCGGCTCCGGGCACATCTCTTTGATTCCACTGTTCTTCCTGCATTAACATATGCCTCAGAGACCTGGGCCCTACGCAAACAGGATGAGAACGCTATTCAGGTCTCCCAAAGAAGAGTAGAAAGAGCTATGCTTGGAATATCACGTTTCACTCAAATGAGAGAAAGAATCCGGAGTTCTGACATCCGTCGACGATCAAGAATCAGGGATGCTGTCTCATTTGCCAAGGTGTCGAAAATCAGATGGGCTGGTCACGTAATGAGATTTAAAGACGACCGTTGGACTAGAGCTGTTACTGATTGGATTCCACGGGATGTCAAGAGACCGCGTGGCCGCCCACCTACCAGATGGTCAGACTTCTTCGTCAAGATCATGAACGATCGGTTTGAGGCCCTTCATGTTCCCGGAACGAACAGATGCCATTGGGCTACACTAGCACGAGACAGGGACAAATGGAGACGTTACTGGCGCCCGCTCGAGCAAATCGACGACTAACGGGAAGTTAAGTGATTAAGTGATTAATCAGTGGCTGAATAAATAGCAGTACTCCTACATAAAAAAAAAAAGACATGGTTGTAATAAACCACATAACAGCATGCACAAAGAGCAGTGAAGAGAATCATAAGGACAGGTTTTATCAGTGACCTGGATGAGGAGCCTGAACTGGGTGGAGGCCCATCCTCTGATTATGGCTCTCCCATATCTCCCATAAGAAGATCACAGAGGATAATCTGGAACTGAAGGACTTTGCAGAATTAAAAACAAGCAAGAAAACAAAACAGAGTATGTATACTGAAGCACTGGGCAAGTTTCAGACAAGAAACTCACACCTAAACATGACCAAGAAAAAAACCTTAATTACATGGGGGTGGGGGGGGGGGTGGGAGGGATTCCGGGAGCATTGGAGGTGGGGAATGGGCATTGGTGGAGGGATGGGTACTCCATCATTGTATAACTGAAACCCAAGCACAAAGATCTGTAAGTCGGGGCTGGAGCAATAGCACAGCGGGTAGGGTGTTTGCCTTGCATGCGGCCGACCCGGGTTCGAATCCCAGCATCCCATATGGTCCCCCCGAGCACTGCCAGGAGTAATTCCTGAGTGCATGAGCCAGGAGTAACCCCTGTGCATAGGCCGGCCGGGTGTGACCCAAAAACAACAACAACAAAAAAACAAAAACAAAACAAAAAAACAAAAAACAAACCGCCCCTCCCCCCTCCCAAAAATCTGTAAGTCTACAACTGTACAAAAAAACTGTAAAAAAAAAAAAAACTGTAAAAAAAAAAACCTTAATTACAATGTTTAAAAGATAAACAAAACCAGG